CAGGTAGGAGGACAAAGTTTAGGAATGTAGAACCATAGAGGCCTTCAACTTCTGCTTTAGTGCAATGGTCAACCGCACATGGCGTACAATCTGATGCACCTCACGAACATACGCACCAATCTCAATTAGCGATGCAATTTCCTTCAAATCTAAAATCCCCAAATTTCCATTTAAGAACAAAAATTAAATAGAAACTGAATCATTATACATATATGTAAATTGGTCTTACGCTGCAAAGTGGAGGGACCAGTGGATGTAACAGAGTTTGAAGGAGGAGGAGCATGTTCTTTCATCTCAACGTCTTTAGTCATTCTGCTAAAAACCAGAGAAATGCACAAAAATATCACTACAAAAGCAAAAACTGAACACATATTGAGAACACCATAACTCGAATTTACGGTACAAAAGATAATTGAAATTGTGGGATCAAATTTACCTTGAATTATCAGGAAACGAGGCAATCGAAATCGATTTGAGCAAGAAAGCTAGGGTTTNAATTGTGGGATCAAATTTACCTTGAATTATCAGGAAACGAGGCAATCGAAATCGATTTGAGCAAGAAAGCTAGGGTTTATTTCTTGAGCAAGAAAGCTAGGATTTGAGCAGGAAATCAATTTCAATCAAAAACTATGCATATTTTTTTCACAGTGAGGATTATTTCTTGGATTTTAAAAACTGTCCAATTCCAATTTTAAAAACAATTCTTAAGAGTGAGGATTATTTTTTTCTTAGTTATGAATGTTAGGATGGATGTTGAGTTGATTATTATTGAGTGTTCATTTTGTAGGATAATTTATTTTCAAATTGGGTATTGCATAGTTTGTGAAATTTCTATTTGCAAAATCAACACACACACACAGTCTCAAGCAGCAGGCACACACAGAGCAAGCGCACACACGACAGCAAACACACACACAACAACAAACACACACAGCGCAACAACATTAAATTTATTTTTTTTTTTTTCAATTTGGGTTTTTGAATGTTAGTGTTTATTTTTTGGTGTTTTAATTTGGCTTTTTTTATATTTGGGTGTTTTTAATTTAGATGTCTATAAAATAGGTGTTGAATTTGTGATCTCACTNTTTTTTTTTTTTCAATTTGGGTTTTTGAATGTTAGTGTTTATTTTTGGTGTTTTAATTTGGCTTTTTTTATATTTGGGTGTTTTTAATTTAGATGTCTATAAAATAGGTGTTTAATTTGTGATCTCACTCTCTCTCTCTCTCTTTCATGACAAACCGCACCCAAACACACACAGAGCAACACACACACACACACACTGCATATTAGCACACAAACACCCAAATTTGTGTTTGAGTTTTTGAATTTGTGTTAATTTGGATTTTTGAATGTTTGTGTTTAATTTGGGTGTTTTAAATTTGGCTTTTTTATATTTGGGTGTTTTTAATTTAGATGCCTTTACAATGGGTGTTTAATTGGATGTCTTTTTTTTTTAGTTATGAATGTTAGGTTGTTTGTGCATACGTTGAGTTCAAATTATTGAGCATTCATTTTGTAGAGTAATTTATTTTCAAATTGGGTGTTGAATATAGTTTGTGAAATTTCAATTTAATTTTTTAGTATCTTGATTTCATGAATGTTAATTAGTATGAAATAGGTTTTTGTTGATCAATTAGTGTGAAATAGAGGCTTATTGTGTGTTAATTGATAGTACTTCCATAATTTCAATGATTTTATAACACACCGTCAAACCCCCTCCCCCCAAACACACATTGTTGGTATTTTCAAATGGAATTTTCACCGTTGTAGGTTTTTTGAATGTTATATTTTTAAGAATTGGATTTTCAAATTGGGATTGAATTGTATTTTGATTGAATGTTATAGTTATAAAAATTGAGTTATTTTGATAATAGTTGAAATTTTATTGTAATTGATGTTAATTATACATAGCTTATGAAATTTACTGTGTAGCCACCAACGTTTCAACTGCACAATCAGCGACTGATGGATGATGTAGTTATTTTTGACAGCGTATGTTCATCATCTAATTAAATCTCTCTAAACATCTCTAATTGATTTTTTAATAACTTATTTATTTTGATTAATCTTTATTAATGTCGTGACAGATGGACGACGATCTAGAAAATACCGTATGACAAGTTTTTCTTACTCATCATGTTATTACTTTTTATCTAATCTTTTTACCCCGCTTATTTAGTATTCAATGTTTTTTTATCTACAAGTTCGAAGACTTCGTCATAATAATATAGGAGTGGTAATTTACAATTAGTATGAACTAAATCATCCTCCGTATACGTGAGGTAGTGTTATCTCACACCTATTTCTCATTCATTTTTTTTAGGTGGACACCTATACGTGAGGTAGGCTCCGTGAGGTAGACTCAACCTATACGTGAGATAGACTCCGTATACGCAATGAGTATTTACTGTTATGTGAATAATTTAGGTAGTTGTGCATTTCCTCCACTGAGCAAAATACGTTCGTATTGATACGAGGACATTAAGGATAGTGATGAAGAGAATGTTTAGAGGGACGACGATGACATTTAAGAGAGTTATTGAAAGATAACATTATGCTTGAGAAAACTCAAACGATCTGCAATCTAGTACCAACCTGCCCACCTCTGACGATGACTAACCCACAACCGATCAAACTATTGTCCAGGTGCGAAAGCCTTTCTTACTGAGAATCTCTATATTTCTCTATGTAGACACACAACACATACACAATACATACACAAACACACACACACACACACACACACACACACACACACACACGCGCGCGCGCGTAACTGCAACCAATCAAACACTCTCACATCGAACTCACACACCACTATACTGCCACCAATAAAGATTTTGTGATTGAAATCATTAGGCAAATGAACCGTTTGTTGAAATATTAGAGATAAATACTCTGTGTTTTTTCTCTCCTACATGAAACCCAATTCGATAGGAGCTTGAATATTTGATCATAAATTCCCCTCCCCAACAAAATACAAATGTGTGTGCTCATTAATTTTTTACATAATTTATGTTAGTGGAATTGATGACAATAATTATGTTGAATCCAACGAGAAAAGTAAGGAGTCTTATATTTCGGGTTTACAATTGTTTATTTTACCTCACATATTTTGATAATTTTTATATTTCAAATATTTTAAAGTATACATGGAAGGATATGAAGACGAAGTTGTTTCTTTATTTATGCATGTGTGTATTTTTTGTGTTCCGTCTTTTGTACAATTAACTAATTATACATGGTTATGACGATTTTGAGTATGAAATGATGGTTGTTTTGGTGGTTGGGTATGTATTGATGATTGTGTTGATATGGTGTATTATGATGATTGTTATGTATGATTGTAAGTTTTGTAGACAAGTTTAAATTTTTTTGGGCTTCTATTTTTAGGGAAAACTCTACCAAATTTTTTTGAAATTAGTAGGGACTAGCTTGATGTTTTGGTGGTTGGATATGTGTTGATGATATATATTAATTATTGTGATGGTATGGTGAATTATGATGATTGTTATGTATGATTATAAGTTCTGTAGACAGGTTTAGATTTTTCTAGGTTCCTATTTTTAGAGAAAATTACGCCTTTAATTTTTGAAAAATTGAAGGGACTAGCTTGATGTTTTGTTGGTTGGATATGTATTGATGATTGTGATGGTATGGTGTATTATGATGATTATTATATATTATTGTAATTCTGTATTTATGTTTAGATTTTTTTGGGTGTCTATTTTCAGAGATAATTTTTCTTGTCTATATTAGGTTGCAAAGAGTCTTCGGGTAATATATTATTTTTTGTGTATTAATTTATTTTTTCATTGCCTAGGAGAAGACTCTCACACAATTAATGTGGCTTAAGGGAATGGATTGTAGCTTGCCATGTTCATCCTACATTGCTTGGTGAAGTCCTTGCGCAAGGACTTGATAAGCATGAGTTTTGGACAATAATGTTATACACCTTTTCTTTACTATGAGATGGTTTTAATAATGTTATAAACTTTTTCATGGTTTTTTTTTTTTTTAAATTAGCAAGATTCCTTCAATGTGATTAAGCTTGGGTACTCATAACTTCTTAATAAAGTCCATATGAAAGAGACACTTAGTATTTTCTTTGAGTGGGACTATTCATGTCCCTTAAATATCTTTTCCCAACCCATTTACTCTTCTTACTTCAAACCACTAAATTCACATTATTTATTTCTGCGCCATTAATGACTAAGAAATAATAATTAATGCGAAATTTCATTGTTTGGAGATGATCTAAAATATTTGAAGTGTCTTAAAATATTTTGACATATTTTTACTAATGTCTTTGAAATATTTTGAAGTACTTTAAGATATTTTGATATACTTTGATTAATATTTTAAAAATAAATAATTTATTTTTAATTTGTTTCTAAAATACTTTCGTACTGAAATAATACACCAAAATAATTTTTTGATTATTGTCTTTATAGTAGGTTGAAATAAAATTAAATAAATTTAGTTTTTAATTAGTAAATATAGACGAGTTGAGTTTAGTAACTCATGAGGTGGGTATAAATGAAATAAACTTAGTAGTTTAAAGTAAGAGGATTAAATGAGAAGTGAAAAGAGATTAAAGGGGTGGGAATAGTGTCACCAATTTTCTTTTTGGCTTAGAGTTTTAATTGATGTTTTACTATATCTCTATAAAGCGAATTCAAATCCCATACTTTTATTCTATATTTCTTGTCTCCGTAGCATTACTCCTTCTACTTGAATTCATGATAGGTGATCTATTAACACAAAAAAAAAAAAATATAATATATATATATACTNATTAAAGGGGTGGGAATAGTGTCACCAATTTTCTTTTTGGCTTAGAGTTTTAATTGATGTTTTACTATATCTCTATAAAGCGAATTCAAATCCCATACTTTTATTCTATATTTCTTGTCTCCGTAGCATTACTCCTTCTACTTGAATTCATGATAGGTGATCTATTAACACAAAAAAAAAAAAATAATATATATATATACCGGAGGAATCTCACTACCTACAAAGCTGGTTCCATTATTCCAAGTAATGTCTCAAAAGAAAATCCACAAAATCAAGATAGTTACTTAACTACAAACTACTAAACTCAAAAACCACACAAGGTCACTAGTAACATTAAATCTGAGATTTGTCAAGAAAAATTGAGCTTCCCACAATCAAAAGCAGCCCTTTTCAGGAGCAACCCAGACATGAATCCAGCCAAAAATTTCTCTCTCAAAAAGCTCATCACTTTCCCATTACTTTGCTGTATGAAGCCCACCATATAAGCTGTACTAATGAGATCAAAGCTTCTCCATCTTCTCTCTCTAGCATACTTCTCCAACCCCTTCTTAATCCTCTTATATTCATTTTCTTCCTCTTTCTCTTGTGTTTCACCACTTGGTTCTTTTCTTAAAGCTTCAGCCAAACACCTCGCCAAGACGACACCGTCTTCTAGGGCTGCACAACCACCTTGGCCAATGTCCGGTGTCATGGGGTGAAGCGCGTCTCCGGCTACACAGACATTGCCTTTGCTGATGTTTCCCCATAGCAGTTCCCTTGGATGTCTGAACCTTAATGGAGCAGCTATGATACTCTCTAATGGAGTGATCTCTATGACAGCCTTGACTCTATCAGGTACTTCTCCGAGCTTGCTCAATACAAACTGCTTCATTTTCAATGGATCACCCTCCATCTCTTTATCTACATAGTGGAAATTCAGTACATAATCAAGTTCAGTGACAGGAGTGCACCACCTATCAATTCACCCAACAAAAGTCACATGCTGGCAAAATTGGCACTACACGGTCATGTTTTGTATATGGGTTTGGATGAGATTTAAAAGGTGGGTTTTGTAAAAATAAATCAATGCACCTTCTAAATTCGTGTGCTCGAAATTTATAAAATAAATAAACCGGGATAAAAGATTGTATCAAGATTATATACAAAAAAATAGTAAAATATCCTCTAGTATCGAGGGAATTGTACATGTCAAAGCAAAATATCCAACAAGTATTAGCTCTCCCTAAAAAGGAAGTGATCCAGCCGCATCTTCCATTACGATTACTTTGTTACAACTTCACTTCAGTCACTAATTCTGCCTTCGACATCACTGTCGGCGCGCAATGAATGAATTAAAATCCATGTATGGGGTTTAATGTAACCCATGGGGGGGGCAGGTTTCAAAAGTAAGAGATGAAATTTGTAGATACGAAGACTGTTTTATCCAAAAATTCATTCTTTTATTCATCTAATAATAGACATTTTAGTCAATTTAGTAATATAATTTGTCATACAAACATGAGATTGAATAAAATATTACAAATTTTTGGGGTTAGGTTTGAAAAGACATCATAAATGCAATCCAATCCTGCCAGAAAATAACATCCAAACAGGCCACATAAGGGTTGGCATGGTCTGAGCCACAGCTGACCACCCTTGCCCGCCTCTAGGATAGTATATTGAAATGGTCCCGGTCCATTGCTTATCAATTCATTTATATAATCACACACCATTTTCAGAGTCATAAAATGATGAGGACTGAAATGACGTCGTAAGAAGAGAATTGAAGAGAAAATAAAAAATGGACGTGAACGGCTTGGTAGTGAGAGATTAAAGGCATACCTTGAGGAGAGGCAGTGTAGTTGAAAAACCAATAAACAGTGTGATCATCACAGGGGATGAACCCTGCTCTAACACCATTCCCAGCATACTGCCAGAACTTGGTACCAAAGCCATGACTGCTCTCAAATTCTGCAAAACCCCTAATGGTTGACCGGCCCACGAACGCCGGCTTGCTGAACCCTAACCATGTTGCCACCACCGAGTTCACTCCATCACATCCAATCAACACCTTTCGTATACACATTAGCATAGTGATGAGTAGGAAAAGAAATGGGCTCAAGTTTCCTCAAAGTCCACATTGAAAAATAAAAGTGAGCCCATTCAATTATTGCTCTACACATCTGTCACAGGGTTGGCCTCTTAATAGTTGGGTCTAAAGAAATGATCAAAATTTCGTTTCGAAACGTTTACAACGTTCTATTTTCAAAGAGACCGAAACGAATCAATGATGGAATTTAAATTCTAATATATTGATGTGTTTCATAATATTTCAAGGTGTTTTGTAATGTTTCAATATATTTATACAATTATTATAAAATATTTCAAGATACTTTTGTATAATTCGACCAATGTTTTAAAAAAATAATTCTTAAATTTTTTATTTTTTTTTTTTATTTTATTTTCAAATCAGGTCAAAACGTTTTTGTTTCCTTGGTGACTGAAATGAAATTTTGATCTTGAACTAGAGACCTTGTTCATAAAGTACATAATCGCATTTATGGTTCCTTTAATTGGGAGAAGTTCTTTTTCATGTTTGACACCAATGTTTTGGAAATAAATCAAATAAATAATGTAGTAGCAAGCACCTTGGTTTTGAGGATGGTTCCATCAGCAAGATGAACCAACTTGAAATGACCAGAATCCTCAAAGGACACCACCTTGGAAGAGTACCTGATGGTACCACTTGGTAGTTCCTTTGCAAGAGTTTCCGACAACAACTTCCTTTGAGAACACCGAACTTCATGCTCTCCCCTGCACATCATACATGGACTTCCTCTCACAAATATGAAGAAAAACCCAATTGTTCTCTCTCTCTCTCTCTCTCTCTCTCTCTCTCTCTCTCTCTCTCTCTCTCTTGTTTTCTTCGGTCTCTATTGTAAGCTATTAGATATTTATAATGAGAGTATGTTTTTGTAAACTTGTAACATTGGTAATCTATATACTAAATGCGTAATACATCAACAACACACAGTGATATATAAGCTTAAAAATCATCAATATGTGCTGATATAAGTCTATGATAAACTTACTGTCCCTCTTGGGCCACAAATGACAATTCTGAAGTGGCAAGTCCAGTAACTATAGAGGTAACAATTAACCTACATAACATATCAGAATCTAGTCAGTGACTCTAAATCAAAAACCAATACAATGTCGACCCATCGCAAAAGTAAAATATTTTTTTTTTTTTTACCAAATTACCACTTTTTCTATACTTCATCCGGTTCTAACTTTTTTCACCATTCTTTAAAAACACAGGTTTAAACCACGCTTTTTAATATAAAGATGGATTTTGCAAATACGTTTTTATATTGAAATGGGTTAAATCCTCCATGTCTTTATATAAAACTATATAAATAGAAGGAAATTGAAAAAAATATGGTGTCTTGAAAATGGATTGTCTAATGCATCGATCCATTGACTCAAATAGACTAACCAGAAAAGCCCAAAAATTAATGTGTTGGAAGTTATTACCCGTGCAAGCGGTCATGGCGTTGGCGAAGAAAATCAGCGATGCCCAAGGCATCCATTGCCTTCCAAGCATTGGTCCATGCTGTAAATGCAAACCCTGTGATTCTCAAACTCTCTGATGACTCCAATACCAGGCTTCGGATTCCCAACCTATCAAATCAACCGACAGTCTCATTTTAACATAGATAAATGTTATACAAACCTATTGGAGACCTAACGAGTGACTTATTTCATTATAACTGATGATACATGAAAAAGATTTTAACCATGTACGAACTCAGGAAATGAAGTCAGATAAGCAGCTCAAAGCCCATAGCTCAGAGACCAAGCCTCGAGCTCCTCTCGGATGAAAGAGCAGAAAAGGTGAGAAGAGAACAATTGGCTAGCAGAAGGCATCCACAAAACAGCAAGAAGACAATAATTGAGGCGTGAAACTCTCAACTACCTAAGATCCCCTCCCAAAATCAAGAGAAATCCAGCAGATGAAGGGCTAAGACCTCGCTGAAGATCCCTTAGAATCAAGAATCAGACTATAAATATTGAATAGGGCCTCCAGCGAAGGGGGACGAAAAAAAATTTATGTAAATCATTCTGTAATTTATAACGGTGGTAAATATAGATTCGAGGAGCAACAGACTCCATTCGAAAGTAGACTAGCCGAGAGCTCGATGAACCACTATATTTTCAATGTGCAAGTCATCCCAATTCCCTGGCTCTTGAACACTTTGATTCTAATCAATTTGCGTAATGGATTCATTCTGCTCAATTGGCATAATAAACACCATCAACAACTATTAGATTAGTTAAAAAATTTATCTTTCATTTGAAAAGTAGCAAATCACTTTTCTTAATCCAACAAATATAAAGTCCTCAAATTTAGTAAAAATAACATTTTTCTTCAACATCATGTACAGAATATGAGAGAGAGAGAGAGAGAGAGTGTTAAAAGTGGGTACCGGTGAAGGCCCAAGGATGTTGCCAAGCCAGCAATACCAGCTCCAACAATCACAATGTCCTCGACAACTTCCATAGTAGTGTTGGATATTTTTCTTGCTGTAGCCTGAAGTTGTAATATGTAAGATGTGATAAGGCTCTGTTGTTGGGAGACGAAAATTTTGGACTGAGACTATAAATAAGAAGATTGTTTTTGTTTTTTTGAAGGAAATATGGAGAAGAAGAGGATTTGAACACGGCAGCTACACCTTGGAGGTCGGAGGTATCAATAAAATAAAGTTCAGTAATAAACTTACACTATTTGTGAAGATTGACGATGACACCCCATCTGCTGGCTTGGTTGGATAGCTACAACTTTAGTTTTTAATTATTTATTTTTTAACCCCCACAAAAAAAGTTTGCCCCAATTTTCTTTCCTTCTTGTCGTAAATTTGATACAAAATCAACATAAAATGCATAAATTTTAATTCAACCTAGGCAAATGTAGGTGATAAATGGATGACCCCTTCAGGCCTATTAAGTAAATGAATTAATGTATATTTAATTAGACATACCACAAATTCTCTAATTGCATTTTTATGCAATAAATTTGATATAAATTTGAATATGCACATTTAAAAATTGTTAAAAAGAGAGGAATAAGGCTAATTGGGTCTGTCAATCATGTCAGGTTTGAGGTGTGTATGGTTACATGTCAAAAAAAACACTTCATTCATATGTAATTTTTTTATTAATTTGTATCTAATCAATTGTGTCGTATTGAATTAGAGTCATAGATAAATTATATTTAATATTATATACAAAAAATCATATCATATATTTTTTTTAAATAATTTCACTCATACCCAAGATTCACTCGTTTACGAAACTTATGTTCTGTTTGGTATGATGTAAAAATGGAAGAATAAAAAGTTGGAAGGATAGAAAGTTGGAGGGATAAATAAAACATCATATTTGGTAAGAAGGAAAATAGGAATGATGAAAAAGTTGATGGATTAATCAATCCCTCCAAAATCAGAAGGAAAATGAATGAAAAGTTAATTATTTGTATTAAAAAATATATTATTTGTCTATATATATTTTAATATATACATATATTATGTATACGTTAATTTCATATAAAAATACAATGATAAATTATGTATGTATGTATGTATGTATATATATACATATATATATATATAAATAAAAAATTTAAATTGAAAAAATATTTTTTTCATTTTAACTAGGCGTGAAAATTTTTAACTCAACACAATGACACGACTCGAACTCAACACGAATTTTATGACACAAACTTGATTACAACTCGACACAAACTGAAAAATGACCTGACACGCGAACAAAACATATAAAAGACTCAATTCAACCAGTCAAACTCAAAATTGATACCATCCACCGTTTATTTAAAAATAAATATTTTTCCATTTTCTTGTTTGTATGGTAACACGGAACTAATATGTTTAACTAGTATTATAGATATAAAATGTTAATTATTTATAATTATTTATTAAGCACTGACATAATTATTATATAAAAATATATTTTTACTTCTTATTATTATATTTATTTAAGTTAATTTTTAGTTTATAGAAAAAATATTAATGTGGATTCAATTAAGTGAAAATAAAATATTAGTGTTAAATTTTTTATTCAAAATTTATGCAGGTCAACACAAATATGAACACGACACGAAAATAAATAAGTCAACTCGTAACTTAACATGACACAATTAGTTAAATGAGTTGAGTTAGATTTGACTAGTGTTTGACACAAATCAATAATGACTCCACACGAGTCAATTGTCATTCCTAATTTTAGCCAATAAAAAAAAAAAAAAAAAGTCATTTTTATTTTTCATCCATTCAAAAAATAGTCATTTCTTGAATGATAGAAAATGTATCCCTCTTACTTTCTATTCTTCGTATTAAACGGAACATTAAGAAAAATTCCAACCTTATAATGTTTATATCATACTAATCGATGGTAACATATTTTGACATCCAACCAAACTACCGGTCACACTGGAGAAGCTTATCTACAATATTCCATTCAGAAATTATGGCACACTGAACATGGCACTATTTTTTGTAGTTGCAGCAATTATTAGTGTTGATTATGACAGGCTGTCTCATTCTGACAATGGGCCGAGAAAGACAATAACACCCGGCCCAAAAAATTCTAAAGGACTCACTAAATTTGATGAATACATTCAAATTTTATTTATGCGATTGAACTTGTTGGACCACCTCACAATTATGAAAGGGCCCCACTAGAGGAATGGATTTTTTATTTTCACACATCTCTCTATTTTAAAAAATTAAACTCTAATAAATTCTCTAGTTAAAACAAAAAATAAAAATCACTCTCTATTCTGTCATTAATAAATAAAAAGATGACATATAATTTTTTTTTTAATTTTTATTATTATTAAATGCTACAGATTATTAAAGCTATTTCTTTACTAAAATAGAAAACTTTATTGGAGTTTTTAAAATTTTCATCAAAAACTCTTTTTATTGATGGCACCTGGTTCCTTGGCGCCCTACCACTAAAAAAATAAAAAGGGGTAGGAGGGAATAATGAATAAGTGTCATACCTAATGCAATTGCAAAATAATTTAATTATAAGGCTATGAAATAATGGCAATTTAATTGTATTCTTTCTTTTGCCATTTACACTAAACACTGAATTCCAAGATTTATTTAGTTGTTATTAAATGCTCTATCGACTATTAAAACTAGTATTTCTTTACTAAAATAGAAAGCTTTATTGGAGTTTTTAAAATTTTCATCAAAAACTCTTTTTATTGATGGCAGCCGGTCCCCCAACCCCTCCTCCAACTGCAAAAATAAAAAGGGGTGGGGGCGTAGGAGGGAATAATGAATAAGTGCCATACCTAACTGCAATTGCAAACTAGTTTAATTATAAGGCTATGAAATAATGGCAATCTAATTGTATTATTCCGCTTGTCATTACACTAAACACTGAATGCCAAGACTTCTCAAATGATTCTGCATATGATTGAGAGTCTTGAAGCCAATAAGAATTTAAGGATCGTAAATTATATGTATGCTACTCCTATAGCCCAAGATACACTAGTCATAGTTTTTATCTCAATCTCCAAATCCCAAAGAGTAAAAAGGTCCAGACCCACAAGCCGAAGAACAGATACAATGTCCAATAGGAAAAAAGATTTGATTTGATGTAACCGCCTAATGATAAAATAAATAAATAAGTAAAACAGATTCCACTATTTCAAATAATTACCCCTCCACATAGGATAATAACCACTATATATTCAAAAAATTAGGTTCACTTACAAATTTATTTATTTATTATTGTGCGGTTACACCCAATATTTGCTCTTCCAATCCGTCAACAACAAAAAAACAGATGAAACTTGCTTACAACTTCAGCATCATCAACCGGAAGACATCAGACAGTATTCGTGCGACTGCACAACACTCGTCCTTTTGCAGATGGATTGGGGAAAAACATTGACACACAAAGAGATACATACAACTGTCTAGCACTCACGTAACGCATGAGATTTCTCAAAAAAAAAAAATGCATGAGAATAAAAACAGAGGGCCACCTGTTATTAGTCCATCGGAGAAGAGAGGGTGCTAATAATATACCATTTTACAACTGCAGGGACTGTAAAAGATAAATGGGGTGCTAGTAACAATTTATTATTTGCCTACAAAAAGGAATGAATATATTCCATGTGCAAACCTAGAATATATTCTGGAGCTGCTTGACAGAAGACATGCAAGCTTAAATAATACATATCTGACAACGATAGTATCCGAGCATGCCAAGATGAAAGAATGTATTCTCACCAGAAGTATTGACTCTGTTCTTGACATTTGGATGGAACATGTTATCACTATATCATCTTTGCACCTTGGCTTCCATCTCAGTGTTCCTGCTTGGGATCACATTCGAGTTCTCACTACTGAATCTTCCCCATCTCTCTTGTCCACCCTTACCAACTCCTGCCCTTCCACTGCCATCAGATCTTGATGTGGGTGAGCTTGGATTTGCTGAGACCCCTACCGGGGTAGGATCTCTATTTGAATTGGAAGAACTTCCTTTCTTGTATCTATTGCTTTCTGTTGTTACATTCTCTTTTATGCTGGTATCAGTGGCTTTTGGTGCACTAAAAATTCCATAACTTGAAGCAGGGGACTTGATAGACGTAGGATGTGAAGGCTCTTGATTGGGAAACTCATCTGCAGGAAGTTTCAAGTTTCCAAACATGGAAGCCTCACCTTCAACTTGTTTAGTTTCTCTTGTGCGGGTGGAGGAATTCAAATCGAATCGTGGTTGCTTGGCTTGGGCTGAATATTGAAGTTCTAATCTTGTTTGGTCTCTTGCACCAGGTACATTAATATCCATTGATTTAGTAGGTGGAAACCTGTTTATCGGCTCCTTTCTGTACCTATTATCAGGTCTGAGTGGAGTCTCTGATGGAGAGGATGGAACTGTAGGTGTCCTTGTAGAATTAAGTACAGGTCTGGTGCTCATAACCTCCGAGGAAGTATTTGCTGGCAAGGATGCCAATTCTGGTGCAGCTTTCATTGGTTCTTTGGTACAACTATTGGCAGCCCCATTTATGGCATTCCCAAAAGCAAAAATTTTGTCAAACTCATCACCTGCATCAGAAACTGACCAGAGAGATTTTTCCTTTTCAAGATCATCACCAGGCAATTCAACTGAAGGAGAAGTAGGTGCCTCTTCAGAAATGATCTCATTGTCAGTTACCAACCCAGACTCTTTGGCATCCAAATTTTGCTCAAAAGGAATAGGACTTTGAAGTGAAAAGCTGGTGCTTGGTGGTGACACGGCAACTTTTTGGACATTACCTGTGGGTTGGACAGCTTCAGAAAGTTTCTTTCCGGGGCCTTTTTTGGATGGGCCAAACTTGACATGCCTAACAACAACATATGCTTGTTTTTTCTCCACTCTTGGTCCACTTTCCACAATTGCCACATCTTCAATCTGCAGAAAAGTGCTCCTTGCTGAGTGCAGGTTTAAAAAGATAAGAAAAGAAATCAATCTTATAAAGTACCATGAGAAGAATGACAAGTATATTGTGATACCAGAGCAGAGAGACGAGACAACAATCCTCCCAGGTCATCTTCAGCGTTCATAGCAGTGCACTGTTTAAGAACCATAAATGGCATAAAATAAAGTTTTCTACACCATTGATGGATTAAAGACACACAAACAAGTATGCATATGACCAAACAACCCATTTCCAGTGCAGAACTATAAACATTTCTTTGCTTACAACTACAATAATCTGATAAAGTTCTTATGTCAATTGCAACTCATCATTTGGAAGTCTAGTTTGCTGGTTATGCAGTTACCAATGTCATGCTGGCTAGGTCAACCATAAAGCTAAGTTGAAGTGCCCAAAGCTTGAAGAAACATGGGGCCAGTTCCAAATTCTAACTACAAAAACTGGCATGAGCCCAGAGGACCTATGTATTCACCATTGCCAGCGGAATGTTATGAAATCATACTATATTGTAGAAATATTACACTAACCGGATTTAGCACCCAATCACCAAAACAGATATATGTTAGAAGATATTGTATGTGGAAATTTCTGACAAGGGGAAGAAACTACCTTCACTCGATATCCACGTTCCATTAATCTCTTAACCATATCTGCTTTCATTTGCAGGTCTTTTTGTTCCTGGAAACATAGATTACATAGCAATATTATCTACTCCGAACATTGTACATTTTTTGCAATTGTGCATTGTCACTTTTTCCACATTTCCGTAATTGATTTTTCTACAAACAGATTTCCAGGTACAATGCTTGCTTGTTATTCAAAAAGACAACAGTGATCAAAATTGCATCCACCATCAATAGCTATGTGGTATAAACCTATACATCAGCATGCTTGTTGCGATATTCAAGCAACTGACCACATCCCCTGATTATAATCAAAATTCAGTAGTACTATAAAGAACCAATGAAGCAAAGGAACCACCAGTTTTCCATGAAAGCAAGATAGTGAGACGAAATAATGAGGATCTCCAGCGTTTACAGAAGATTGTTTAGTCCTTCAAATATTCTAACAGCCACAGGCACATTCTACCTTATTCATGTTAGATGAGATAAAGAAAGTAGCAACAGTCTAGGGATAAAAATAAGAAGAGCACTAGATAGTAGCTTACAATTTTACCAGCAATTCGAACTTCTTTGGAATCTCCCTTCCGTAAACTCATCTCAGACTGCATATAATACAACATAAAAACAAAATGAATTATCACTCAATCTTTCAATCTAATAGGTCATTCACATTTCATGGTTGATTGCTCACTCTCTAAACTCAGAAGACTAGAAGAGGGTCTTATAGTTTTTAAATACTATAATCAAATGGACCAGGAGGCTATCACAACTAGTCACAAACAAAGTAGCTCAAATTCAAATTGTGAAACACCAAGATTAAACATTCATCAAACATAAAACCTATGACAGGATGTTTGTCCTAAGAGAACATGGCTGGTTATCTACAAACACAATTTTAATAAGTATTTTTTCCTGAGAGAACAAGGTTAGTCATAAACAAAAACTCACTTGTTAGCACAACAGAGAAATGGCCTAAAGCTTAAAAAGATCGATTAAAGGGATGTCAAGTCCAGGCACTGATTTTGAGTAACAAGATTAGTTATGTAAAGTTGTAAACCATTGATAATAAGTAGCTCGAATTGAGCCTTACTCTACATAGGAAAAGAGATAAAGGCATTTCAATAAATTTGAGATTATTATCAATTATCTCCCAAATGCAGAATCTAATGTAAACTCAACCTGAGATATATAGGAAAAAAAGAAAAGAAAAATCAAGCAATGAAAAAAACCAATGTCAGTAGAGACCATGGAATTTGGCGAGAATGCATACTTTTAAATTTTGGTTAATGAAATTCTATGTAGGCCCATGCATATATTTACAACTTCCTAGGAGCAAGAGACCATTTTGTGGATAAAGCAATGGCATAAAGTTCACTGGACCACCTGCTGGCTTGAAAAGCACCCTCATAAGATGTATCAGATTGTTATCTTCAAAAAGACAACTCAGGAATCATTTGGCAGACAACAATGCTTCACTTACCAAAACTTATACCAAAGTTTTGTACAAAATCAACATGAATTATTAGATTAGTGGGCCTTTACTAACTCCCACTAATCGTCCAATGACTATGAATGTGCCATCATGTGGCACAAAAAAATTGGTAAAAGTTCCAGTGATATAACTTCATTCTCTTACAAAAACAATGTTTGCAAAGGTTCCCAATTTCTGTTAATACTTTAAGTGCTATATATAAAATTCAAGAAATACTGGATATACAAAATGAGCATAGTGCTAATTTTTATTGTGCTGGGGAACAAGTTAAAACAAGGCTCAAGGCACAAGAACAACATATCCAGGTTGCAGAATGCAGTGTCAGTCAAAGTTTTCCCTAACTTGAACAAGATTGAAACCAAGGACAAATCCAAAGAGTACCTACCTTGCCTTTAGAACGGTCCTTGTCTTTTATTTGTTGTTTGTACTTTTCTTTATGGTAGTCCATGAGTTTGCAAACAGGTGGCTGGGCATGTCGCTGAACCTGTAAATATAAAAGAAGAAAGAGTCAACTGTCTCTGTCTCATGCACAAGCACATGCAAACACAATAACAGGAAAAAGAACACAAGTCCAATTTTTGTTCCTAGAATAATGATGAGAGTTACTTCATGGCTTTTTCTGGTTGATCGAATCTGTTTCTATTACACTGTTTTTCACAGTTCAATATAAGTTTTCATAAGTCCACACCATAACTCCGCTTTGAGATTGAAAAAGAATTACCTCAACAAGATCAAGCCTTTGTCTCCTTGCACGTTCCAGTGCTTCCCGCCTAGAAACTACACCATGCCCTGCAAATACACTTAAACTCAAGACATGCTATAACCAGATGACAATCCATCCTCAACATTCTAACATCAGTTCTTCTGGTTTTCTGTGTCATACTAAAAATATGTCATAACAGTTTATCAGTTCATTTAAATCCACCACTTTGGAATTATTTCTCTTTTTCTTTTCCTTTCTGTTCTATTTATGAGAGGATTGCAGGTGGTCTATGCCAAAAGCCAAGATTTAGCATGAGTCAACACCATGCTTCCTTGCCCTAATAAATGATTATTTCACCTTCCTCAGTGAGGATGCATTTGGACAGAACACAGCCTTACTAATTATAAGGGTTGTTAGATGGGTTCAAAAAGTCGTGAGACAACCCAATTGTGAATTGTTAGTAGTTTCCAAGTTGATTGACCTAGTGCTCATGATTGCATGACTTGATGAAAAAAATTTCAATTGCTGAAACAAAATCAAAAAAATTAATCAGTAATAACATAATTCCTTTTTTCTTGGAGGGGGACGAGGATCTCAACAAAATTCCCTAGAACTTGTTGGACGATTTAGACACTGGAAAATGTAGTGCACATAATTAATCATCAAAAAATGTGCATCATATATTAATTGTATGTTGGATTCTGACACTTAAATTGGCCTAATCTCTCTCCAATGGCCAACTCTGCTTAACTCAAAACAATTTTCACTTCATAAAGAACTATTGTATTTCCTTTCAATTTTGAAGAAGCTATATCAAGTAGTGTCCTTGACAATGTATCACTACAAATGTTTCAGGATTACCAAACACAACCTAAAATTTACAAACATAAGGTAGCCATATTATACACGAATGATGCAAGAATACAACACCACCAAAAAATTCAAATATTTGAATTAATAGATGTAATCCACATACATTACCTTCATCGGTCACTAGCCTAACATACTCTGCCTTAATTTGCTCATTCAATCGCGGCCCACTCGTGTCCTTTTCTTCCTGCTTCGGCTTAGTCTAAAATCCAATCAAATCACCAATCCTTAACAGTTCACCACTACACAAAACCATGATATACAGATATTATATTGTTATATGTGTGTGTATAACCATGATTACCTGAACCGGTGCGGCGAAGAACCTCACATTGGTAGGCAACCCGTTTTGGGGTCTGTAAATAAACCAATTAGGCCTATTGAGAACACATATCTTCGAATAGGAAGCCCTGCGATCGACCGAACAGGGACCATATGTTTGAAAATAGCATCTCTTGAACTGGTTTGATAACCTGTTGAGCTGTAATTGCTTGACTCGGCACCAAAATGCCATCTTGTTCTGCCTTACTCACATCTATCGAAGGAAGGAAAGAATTTAAACAGAGAAACGAATGTTATAGTGATCTGTGAATGATATATTATCTTCCACCAGGTGGAAGCAAAAAAAAAAACCCTAATCAGCCATTGACGTAAGGTGAACAATGGGCAGCGAGATTTCTTGATTCATGAAACCCTAATCTCTTCCTAGAGAGATAACACTGCCTTATCGTCAACATCAAGTATTAATCTTCCTTGTCTTCGTCGTCATTGTTATCTTAGAGGGACAGAGAGAGAGGGGACATCTGGTAGTGCTGAAGATGGAAGACCGGGAGTGAGAGAAAGTGCCCAGTGATCAAGGGTTTTGACCCAAATTGATATATAATCGGATTGTACCCGGATGCCGACCTTCGGGGTTAGTCCTGGGCCCCATACACTTTGATTTGGCCTTCTTTTTGCGCAGATATTTGGGCTAGTTCTAGGCCCTTGAACCAGGATGCCGACCTTTGGGGTTAGTCCTGGGCCCGATTCACTTTGGTATGGCCTTCTTATTGAGCCTACATTTGGGCTAGTTCTAGGCCCATACAGCTAACGTAACATCAGTTGCCATGGCATTGGGCTTCCAAGTCCCATGTCACTTCAATATCNTACATTACCTTCATCGGTCACTAGCCTAACATACTCTGCCTTAATTTGCTCATTCAATCGCGGCCCACTCGTGTCCTTTTCTTCCTGCTTCGGCTTAGTCTAAAATCCAATCAAATCACCAATCCTTAACAGTTCACCACTACACAAAACCATGATATACAGATATTATATTGTTATATGTGTGTGTATAACCATGATTACCTGAACCGGTGCGGCGAAGAACCTCACATTGGTAGGCAACCCGTTTTGGGGTCTGTAAATAAACCAATTAGGCCTATTGAGAACACATATCTTCGAATAGGAAGCCCTGCGATCGACCGAACAGGGACCATATGTTTGAAAATAGCATCTCTTGAACTGGTTTGATAACCTGTTGAGCTGTAATTGCTTGACTCGGCACCAAAATGCCATCTTGTTCTGCCTTACTCACATCTATCGAAGGAAGGAAAGAATTTAAACAGAGAAACGAATGTTATAGTGATCTGTGAATGATATATTATCTTCCACCAGGTGGAAGCAAAAAAAAAAACCCTAATCAGCCATTGACGTAAGGTGAACAATGGGCAGCGAGATTTCTTGATTCATGAAACCCTAATCTCTTCCTAGAGAGATAACACTGCCTTATCGTCAACATCAAGTATTAATCTTCCTTGTCTTCGTCGTCATTGTTATCTTAGAGGGACAGAGAGAGAGGGGACATCTGGTAGTGCTGAAGATGGAAGACCGGGAGTGAGAGAAAGTGCCCAGTGATCAAGGGTTTTGACCCAAATTGATATATAATCGGATTGTACCCGGATGCCGACCTTCGGGGTTAGTCCTGGGCCCCATACACTTTGATTTGGCCTTCTTTTTGCGCAGATATTTGGGCTAGTTCTAGGCCCTTGAACCAGGATGCCGACCTTTGGGGTTAGTCCTGGGCCCGATTCACTTTGGTATGGCCTTCTTATTGAGCCTACATTTGGGCTAGTTCTAGGCCCATACAGCTAACGTAACATCAGTTGCCATGGCATTGGGCTTCCAAGTCCCATGTCACTTCAATATCAATTGGTCTGGCCCACGTACCATGGCATAGGGCTCCCAAGTCACGTTTTTTTTTTGGGGAAATTTGAGGACTTATTTGGTAATAAGTTTATTAAAAAAACTTATTTACACTTAAGTCCGTTTTTCTTAAAATTGTCAAATTTACCTTCAGTAGTTATATTTAATTAAAAAAAATTAAAAAATTAACAATTCTTATATTTTAAGAGTTTGATTAATATTAAAATTTTCTAAATCATATATATTTATATCTATGTATGGATTATGATTATTCTCTCTCTTATACACACACACATATATATTTATATATAATAAAGTACAAAGAATTTCAAACCCCCAAACTAATAAAATCATTCGAACGTCTCAAATCATTTCAAGATTGTTGATTCAACAAACCAAAAACTTTCTCCAAAAATTTTCCTACCCATGCATTCTCCAAAAGAATGTTTTTAGATTCAATGGTTTTTTCTCTCACACGTTTCTCCGTGCCTTCCAAATAAAATGAAGTCTATTTTTATTTATCAAATATATCTCTACTCTCTCTCCACTCGCCCAACTCCTTTGTTTTTCTCACGTCCCTATCTCTCCCCAACATCTCTCACTCCCCCAGCATCTTTCACTCACTCACTCACGTCTAGAGGTGGTAGGACTCTATTTTCAGACTCAATGACTTTCTCTTTCACATGTATTTGTTGAGTATTCCAAACAAAATGGAGATTGTTTTTAATTTACCCAATCCCCAATCTCTATCTATCCCTAGCATCTCTCTTTCACTCACTCATTCACGTCTCTACGAAGCAGCTCAACATCTCTCTCTCACTCTTGTCTCCACGAAGCAACGACTCTTCGGGACTGGCCAAGCAAAACATTGATAACTTTTTCTCCTCACTCTCGGTGTTTATAGATTAAATTTTTTCTCTTTACTACACTGGTAACTCAATTCTTTTTAAAGCATCTTATATGTAGCTAGCTCTCTCTCTCTCACACACACATATATACCCCAGCATAAATTTACGCAATCACGCATATACACCAACAAGACTCATGCGTTCACACACACCCACACACTTCAGAAACTTACAATCACAAACTCACGGATTCACAATCACGCACAAATTCACAATCACACAAGTACTCACAATTACAACTGTACTCCAACTATTTGTTTTTGGAAGATTTAATATGTATGTAATTAAGCTATCAAATGTTGAATTTTTTTGTTGCTTTCTTACTAATTCAACTTCTTTTAGTATTCATGTTCTGTTTATAACAAGTTAGATTGTTTGTTGTGTTCATATTGTAGCATAGGGACATGGTTAAATGCATAAAAGCAAACCTACAACATATAGCCCGTGGGAGTATTTTAAATATGGTATACACTGACTTCCTTCAATAATCTAGAAGCCTAGCAATTTACAATAAAAAAGTTATTGGTATAGTGATAGCAATCCAACCATCCTTATGTTCAGTACTTCAAGTCTTCTTAATCAAATGTAGTTATCTTTCATAATTGAAAAGTTGGAAGTGATAGTATGTGACTTAATCTTCAATTGCCTCTTTTCCACTCCTCCAATTGAGTATGTGCTTGAGTTTGGCGATCTCTTAATTGGTCTCATTTTAACATCACGTAGACAAGATATTGATAACTGGGTCGCTGGGGACATCCAAGTATGGCTGCAGTTTATTTTCTATTCTTTTTTTTAATATACATATGATGTTTTTTTTTTTTTTGCAGACTATCAATTTAAAACAATTAGGATGAACAATGCTAATTAAAATGCAAAAAATTGTGAAATGCATCCAGTTAGGAGTTTGGGAAACATGTGACTTTTTCTTCCCCATACTAAATAAATGGAAACTGATTTTTTTGTTGTGTTTCCCAACTCCAAAGGAACATGAATCTGGTATGCTAAATTTAAAATGCCTTTAGCCAATAGGCATGCACAGGAAATCTCACAATCAAATGAAGCTCACATTTTAGCTATGTGCGGATTATGCTTTTAGATGACTAGTTGAGAGACCACATTCATCAGTGACGCTTGGCTTTTAATCCATGGTCCAAATTGTCCACATTACGAGTATTTCACACCGCATAGAAATGCCATATCATCGTGTTTATACTGAAAATTTGATACATCCGAGAATTAGGATAGAAAACTTTGGTTTATTTGCGGTATGTTTTTTTGGTTAAGTTTTGATGTGTTTTTTATTTGTTGTGATGGGGGTATTTTTTTTTTGTTATGGTTTTTATTGAGCAATGTTGATATTGATGANGCCTTCATTGTTGAGGATTAAAGTAGCGTAAGTGCAGGCGAGTTCAGCGATCGACATGTTCTACTTTAAATCTTTTTTTTTTTTTGGTAAAATAAATTATGTCTAAGGAGGAAGAGTTGTGACCCTAGAGTGATGATGCGACACTGCTTCTTCTAACAAGGGTTTAGTCGAGAGAGAGACAGATGTTCAGTAAGTACGAATTTTAATTTCTACAGGAAAAGAACAATAAGNTTACAACTAAATACAAAAAAATAGTAACATTAAAAAAAAATAATAGCATTTAAACACAAAAAATACTAACATTTAAAAATAGAAAATAATAACATTGAATATTAATATTTAGAAAAATAACTATAGTAATATACTCACAAAAAATAAGAACATTCAAACAAAAAAAATATTAACATTCAAAACAAAAAAATAGCAACATTTAAAAATAAAAAAAAATAACATTGAATATTAATATTTGAAAAAATAACAATAATAATATGATTCTCTTTGAAAAAATAGTAACATGGTAAAAAAAAATATAATATAAGAAAATTAATATAACCAAATATGGATGGTATAAGAAATGTGAGATCAGCGATAATGGTTTCTAAAGTGATTCTCCGACTGGAATACAACTTACAATGTGATTCTCTTTGTCAATTTGAAATAGTGATTAGCGATAACGGCTTCACCGGCATGACCAGCAACTATGACCAGAACAGCATCACCACTGCCACTGGCGCCGACATTCAACACAAGGTTTCGGTGTTCCTCTTCTCGGGGAGATTGGCAAACAAGCGTGGCCAATAAGATTCAACGCTCACGTTCACTGCTGCCTGTAATTTTAGCAATCTTTTCTGCGGTGATGGGGATGCCTTCATTGTTGAGGATTAAAGTAGCGTAAGTGCAGGCGAGTTCAGCGATCGACATGTTCTACTTTAAATCTTTTTTTTTTTTTGGTAAAATAAATTATGTCTAAGGAGGAAGAGTTGTGACCCTAGAGTGATGATGCGACACTGCTTCTTCTAACAAGGGTTTAGTCGAGAGAGAGACAGATGTTCAGTAAGTACGAATTTTAATTTCTACAGGAAAAGAACAATAAGTGCTGGAAAAATTTGAATAAATTAGAGTGCTCCTTATTCCCTTTTGTTTTTGACAATAAGTCCCAACTTACTTGAATAGGAGGAAAAAAGAACATAAACTCCAAAGTTTTTAGAGGATGAAATATATGCAATTTTATCTTTACACGTGAAAACAGAGCTTTCATGACTTAAATTTGTGACCTCTACTAGGGTGTCTATGGTCAGGCCGGGCTAGGCCTGTGAAATTTTTTTTTGGGCCAGGCCGGGCTTCAGGTAGAGGTAGGTTATCCGAAGCCCAAT